AAAAAAAAAAAAAAAAAAAAAAAAAAAAACGTGTAGTACTTTTAATTGTAGTATTTTTTCATGGTCAAAAAGCTCTTACCATAATTATAGCTTTGATGTTATTCCTCGTAAGTTTGATTGAGTTGTGTGAATCCTCAAACTCTGAAGTACCCTTCACTTCATCACTATAAAAGGCCAAAAGCTCATCCACCATGTCGCTATCAACGGGCCCGTTTTCGGGCTTCTCCTTCTTCCTCATATGCTCGTCTATTATCATGTCGATAAACCCATCGAGCGAGGCCCGGGCCCTCACGAGCCTCCCGTTCAAACCCTGCGGATCGACCCACCCCAAACACGGCACGAAATCCGCTATATTAAAAGCCCCGAACAATTTCGAAAACTCCTGCAGAATCTTGATAAACTCGTCCTGGCCCTCTTGAGAGCCCGACCCGAAGGCGGCCTGGTAAATAATGTCCTTGGTCAACCCGAACACGAGCTCCCCGACGTTGACGGGCTCGCCCGAGCCCGCGGCCACGGCCTGAACCATCCGGTCCACCTCGGCCCGAACCGAGGCCCAAGACTCGGCCCGTTTGCGACTGAACAACTTCATAACACAAAGCTTGCGCATCTGGCGCCAGAAGGGCCCGTAATGGGCGAAGGCCATGTCGGCCCGATCGTAGGTAAGGTAGCTTATGGCGAGCGTGGCGGGCCGATTGGATAAGATGGCGTCGTGGGCCTGAAGGACTTGACGGGCTGCGTCCGAGCTCGACACGGCCACCATGTGTTTGAAGCCCATGCGGAGGTGGAAGATGCCGCCGTAGCGCTTGGCGAGTTGGGCCAGCCCGCGGTGGGTGAGCTGGTCCATCAGGCCCATGTTGCCGATCACGGGCCAGCCATGGGGCCCGGGAGGGTATCGCTTGGGCCGTAGTACTCGGGATATGGCGAAGAGGAAGAGGAGAGGGATTAGGAAGAAGATTAGCAGGGGTTTGGAAGCTAGGGCTTGGATAAGAGCATGTATTTTCTTTTCCATATTTGTTTTTTTTTTTTCTTTTTTGTTAGTTTATTAGAGAATGGGTGAAATTAAAAGTGCAACTAAATTCTAAACTTGTTGCTAGGATTTTTATGGATATAAAGAGGGTTTATATACAAGTAGGGAGAGAGGTTGTTGGGTGGGAGTTCACACTTTACAAGTGAAATAGTAAGATGACCTAAGAGATAATCTTGCTTTAATTAATTTTAATAATATATATAGTTTATAATTAACATGGGTACTATATAAAGTTTTACGGTCAGAAAAAAATGATGGAATTCAAATGGAAATATATTTTAAGTAAATTTTAACAGTAATTCTAATGAATATTTTCAATGCTATTATTTTCTTTGAAATCTTTTTGAAGTGTTCGAACGGAAATTTAAACTAAAATATTTCATTTGAATTAATATTTTATAGAAATTTATGTTGGATTGACAAGACCAACAGTACAATTTTTAACGGTTGAAAAATGGATGAAAATAAAAATTTCAATAGAGAAATTGCATCTTTCAAAAGAAATTCAAACTGTAATTAAAAAATAGTTGGAGAAATAGTTGGTAGATTAATCAAATATCATCTAAAATTTTTGCGGTGAAATATTTATATATATATTTTTTAATAAGATGACTTTAGAGATAATCTTGGAATAATATTTTAATAAAATATATAGTTTTAAATTAACATGCCAATATGTACAGTCCAACGACTCACGGGTTAGATTTAATTGGTTTGAATAATGTGTAAGTGTCGCAGTTACGTTGGGAAATGATAGCTTAGCTAGTTTTGCATTTTGAGTTGGGCCCGTTATTGAGTGTGAAAAAGTACATCAGTTGGTCTAATATTTTCTTAGGCATTTTTGGTGAGAGTCAAATCCGGCTCTATATATTAATTCGAAACGTGTTGAGCTTAAGTGGTAGATTCTCATGTTTTAGATACTGACATGACGAAAATCTATACTTCGTGATGTTATTTTTATATTATTTTTGCTCTGAAGTTAGATTTAGTATTAGACACAAATAACTTTACACATATATTCATTGACTCAACACCCATGTTGTACATGAGTATTAGTAGTAGTAACACTTTTATTAAACTAGTAGTAATTTCAATAATATTAATTCATCAGTTAATTAATTTTATTTGCATCGTCTATGATGTATATGGTGATGTGAAAGTGCGTTTTTGTGTAATAACAAAGAAGTACCATTATTCTAAGCACCTAGATACATATTAAACCTTCTTTACTAATAAATGGTTGCGCGCTTGTAGTAGTTAAAATTTATACGACTAAAACTTCCTTGTAATTCTATTGTGTTTCTATATATTTTTTTGATATAGCATATAAGAGTGGCTCGGTAATATGGTCAAACATAGACTGGCTTACATCGGTACATTTAGCACGGTTCACTATTTTTCCGTTTATGAGTTGTGAAACAATAATATGGCATGAGTTCACAATTCGGTAACTGAGCAGGTGACCGAGCAGATAGTTGGTCTTAATGAACCGAGCATAGAACCGAGAAGATAATTGGTTTTCATAAACCGAGCAGATAGCTGGTCTTAATGAGCCTAGCAGATGACCGAGCAGATAGCTGGTTTTGATGAGCCGAGCAGATGACCGAGCATATAACTGGTTTTGATGAGCCGAGCAGAGAGCTGGTCTTAATGAGCCGAGTAGATGATCGAGAAGATAGCTCGGCTTAGTGAATAACTCGGTAACCGAATAGATAGCTTGGCTTTAATAGAGTAGCTTGGACAGGTACGACCTGGCTAAAGGGTGATTTAGGGTAAGGACCGAGCAAATAAGGCGGTTATGAGCAGTAGCGTATAAAGGACACGTGGAGCGTCAAGATAAGAAAGAGACGAGTGATCTGACGGACGAAAAACGAAGCGTAGGAAAAAGCTAGCAATTACATATAAATAGGTAAGTTTAAAGAGGAGGTAAGGTTAATCACACTCTACAAACCCTAATACTACTTACAGTTACATACAAATTTTTTCTCCTATAATGACTTGAGCGTCGGAAGTTTACCGCAGTCTTGGGGAGCTCAAAACAGTCGAGGATCGGAGGAGATCAACCGGGTTGGGGTGCAGGAGTGCTATCACTTTTCTTCACTAGTTACATGTCTAACACAAAATGGCTACAGTTGATTTTATAAGGCAACAAACACTTCTCCCAAATATTGCAAGAAACATAGAAAAATGCGAATTTTATAAAGGGAAGGGTATTGTGCATAGGAAGTGTATGGGATATCTATTTTGATGTATTAACGGAAAAAATGGAGAATTATATAGAGGATCGATCAATCCAATTGAATAAGGAGAACAAGAAGGTTGAATATGGAGGGTCAACATTGCTGCTCTTTTGTATGGGCAAGGTGACGAGATGATGAGTGTTGCGTGAGGGTTCATCCAAACGGCATCATGAATCATTGTGTGATTCAGATGCACATGGGGCCCCTGTAGCGTCATTTTTCTGTCGTGTGTTTGCACCAATGTGGCCATCGAGCCGATGACTTTATTATTATGTGGTGTTTTAAGAGTTTTAAGGTTGATTTTAACTTGGTTACGGGGAAAATGAAAGAAAGTAATATAGTACGTATCTATCGACAAATTAAGGCGCCTATATTGACAATTTTTATTAATAGGATGGGCCACTCCTGGCGAAAATTGTCTTTCAGGCACATACGAACTCATCTTCACATCTGGTGGGCCTCTTTTGTTTACAGAGCCTTTAAAAGGTTTAAAGAGCGATAAATTCAAAGTAAAGCTTAAAGAGGGAGAGATTACAACATATCTACTTCTATTTAGGGGTACTTCCTCATGTATTTGGTGATAATCTTGAAGGCCTCTAGATTCATCCTTGTATACAAGGAGAGGTCATTAAAAGTTTATTTATTTATAACACGTGGTGGCTTCTGATTGGATGCATGGTGACACGTATTGGGCAACTTGGGTGATGTAAACGAAATATTTTCTAACATCATTAATTTATGATATATGTTTATTTCTTCTTCTTCTTCTTCTTATTATTATTATTATTATTATTATTATTATTTTACTATTATTCCTTTTATGTTTAGTATTTAGTTAGTAAGAAAATAATTATTATTCTTATTATTGGTATTATAATATTTAGTAAGAGATCTTGTCTTGTTAGACAAGTTAGAGGTGGGTTTAAGAGCCTTATTTAAAGGAATTCTCATCTTTTGTGTTATTCAGTTGAAGCTGATTATGAATTAAGGAATTGATATTGTGTTTAGGTACTATTGAGATTGCAATCTCATTAATATCGTCCCATTCGCACGCTTTCCTACATCATTTGGTATCGGAAGTCAACACGATTCAAGATACCACCGGAGAAGGACGATATCGAAGGGTTTGACGCCACCATTGAGCATCTGGGTCGACAAGTCACGGGATTCGGACGCTAGTTCAATCAATTGGATCATCAGGTTAAAGATATTTCGATGTAAATCGAAGAAGTGCGTCTTACGATCAACAACGTGGTTGAGGATTTGCAGACGAACCGTGACCCCGGAAACATGGGCACGTGCGGGAGAATTCATAGAGGACGTGGAGGCCGCAGTCCAGGCGGGGCGTCCCGCCATAAATCTCCACAACCACCGTCCGGTGACGAAGAAGACGAGGAGACAAGCTCAGAGATAAATTCCGTCGACGATTTTCCACCGCCGCACGTTGAGGCAGACCCCTTCGCGCATACGACGACCGTGACATGCGGTGACGGGGTCGATCTTCGTAGACAACGATGATCAAAGCAACGACAGAGGCAGACGTGAGGAGGCTGCATTCGCTAGCAGATATCGTGCCCGATGCGAATGGGGACTTAAACGTGATGGCACCGGCTTCTTGGGATCCGACTGGAAGCAACGCGATTGGGACATCGTGCGCGACAAAGCAACTTTGATGACAAACAGCTGCACCGGGGTTAGAACCTACAACACGATGTCTTCGCGGGAGATTGACAGTAGCGGCACTACGTGCGGCGTCCGACAGACGCCAGCAGTTGGTCGCGCTGGGAGTTAGAATTTCGTGTCGACATTTCTGAGTTTTCCTGTGGGTTTGATCGCAAATATGGTCTATGGAAGGTCCCTTTTCGCGTTGACATCCCCGAATTCGACGAAAAATAAGATGATGGGTCATTGTACGATGGTCCGCCGATTTTCGATGAGGAGCCTCCTGGGCCAGAGGAATTCCATCATGTTCTTGGGTTGTGGCAGGGTGCCGTGGGTATCAAAATTTCGCTGTTGGACGATTTTGGTGTTCGGTTGATCACATATGATCTCCTCGACTTTGGCTACTGTGATCCTCATCCTAACAGAAATTTTAGCTCATCGACTCTGGATATATTGTATTTGGCACATTCTGTGGGCAGGAGTCTTGGGAGTAGTGGGCTCCCTTGTCAAAAAGTTTCACTGGGACTCAGCTCTGTTCCCACATGTCTTATTGACAAATGTTGTCGATAGGTGGAGGCCGAAGATCGGGTTAAGTGTTTGGGACAACGGATGACGACGCGAGGTACGTATTCGAGGGCGACGTCTCCAACGTGATGTAGACGAGATATCTTCTAGCATCATTAATTTATTATATATATATGTCTTATTATTATTGATTTTTTTATTATTATTCCTTTTATGTTAGTATTTAATTGGTAAAATAATAATATATTATTCTTATTATTAGTATTAGAAGTAGAATATTCAGTTAGAGATCTTGTCCTGTTGGACAAGTTAGTAGTAAGGTTTAAAAGCATTATTTAAAGGACACATCCTCTTTTGTGTTCTAGATTAGTTGAAGTTGATTATGAATTAAAATATTAATAGTGTTTAGGTATTCTTGAAATTGCGATGCTACGAAAATCGTCTCATTCGTACGCTTTCTTACATCATCGGGCAAGTGACTTATCTCTTTGGGCGGCGGAAACTGGTTCATGGCGATAACACTTTTCACATTAGCTTGGGACCCTGCTCGTATGG